GGTGTGTTCATATAATTTTCTCTAGATTTTCCGATTTTCCAAATTTTCACGACGGCAACTCGCCTGTAGGCCACACCGTGCAAAATTCGAAATTGTGATATATGGAAAAAGAACTAAGAATTTTGAGACCTTTCTAATGATGTATAATACTTTATATGTTTTCTTTAGAGAAATATCGAATCGTGAAGAGTGTTGCTCCAACCTAGCCGCACTTTGCATTTTGACATGTTAACATCTACACATATTGCTCTATAACATAAAAACCGTAAAAGATACGAAAAAACTTTGTTCGTACGAAAGATGCAGAATAAAATTACGAATAAAATGATATATAAATGGTTAGGTGTGTTTTCACGACGGCAACTCGCCTGTAGGCCACACCGTGCAAAATTCGAAGTTGTGATATATGGAAAAAGAACTAAGAATTTTGAGACCTTTCTAATGATGTATAATACTTTATATGTTTTCTTTAGAGAAATATCGAATCGTGAAGAGTGTTGCTCCAACCTAGCCGCACTTTGCATTTTGACATGTTAACATCTACACATATTGCTCTATAACATAAAAACCGTAAAAGATACGAAAAAACTTTGTTCGTACGAAAGATGCAGAATAAAATTACGAATAAAATGGTATATAAATGGTTAGGTGTGTTCATATAATTTTCTCTAGATTTTCCGATTTTTCCAAATTTTCACGACGGCAACTCGCCTGTAGGCCACACCGTGCAAAATTCGAAGTTGTGATATATGGAAAAAGAACTAAGAATTTGAGACCTTTCTAATGATGTATAATACTTTATATGTTTTCTTTAGAGAAATATCGAATCGTGAAGAGTGTTGCTCCAACCTAGCCGCACTTTGCATTTTGACATGTTAACATCTACACATATTGCTCTATAACATAAAAACCGTAAAAGATACGAAAAAACTTTGTTCGTACGAAAGATGCAGAATAAAATTACGAATAAAATGGTATATAAATGGTTAGGTGTGTTCATATAATTTTCTCTAGATTTTCCGATTTTTCCAAATTTTCACGACGGCAACTCGCCTGTAGGCCACACCGTGCAAAATTCGAAGTTGTGATATATGGAAAAAGAACTAAGAATTTTGAGACCTTTCTAATGATGTATAATACTTTATATGTTTTCTTTAGAGAAATATCGAATCGTGAAGAGTGTTGCTCCAACCTAGCCGCACTTTGCATTTTGACATGTTAACATCTACACATATTGCTCTATAACATAAAAACCGTAAAAGATACGAAAAAACTTTGTTCGTACGAAAGATGCAGAATAAAATTACGAATAAAATGGTATATAAATAGTTATGTGTGTTCATATAATTTTTTCTAGATTTTCCGATTTTTCCAAATTTTCACGACGGCAACTCGCCTATAGGCCACACCGTGCAAAATTCGAAGTTGTGATATATGGAAAAAGAACTAAGAATTTTGAGACCTTTCTAATGATGTATAATACTTTATATGTTTTCTTTAGAGAAATATCGAATCGTGAAGAGTGTTGCTCCAACCTAGCCGCACTTTGCATTTTGACATGTTAACATCTACACATATTGCTCTATAACATAAAAACCGTAAAAGATACGAAAAAACTTTGTTCGTACGAAAGATGCAGAATAAAATTACGAATAAAATGGTATATAAATGGTTAGGTGTGCTCATATAATTTTCTCTAGATTTTCCGATTTTTCCAAATTTTCACGACGGCAACTCGCCTGTAGGCCACACCGTGCAAAATTCGAAGTTGTGATATATGGAAAAAGAACTAAGAATTTTGAGACCTTTCTAATGATGTATAATACTTTATATGTTTTCTTTAGAGAAATATCGAATCGTGAAGAGTGTTGCTCCAACCTAGCCGCACTTTGCATTTTGACATGTTAACATCTACACATATTGCTCTATAACATAAAAACCGTAAAAGATAAGAAAAAACTTTGTTCGTACGAAAGATGCAGAATAAAATTACGAATAAAATGGTATATAAATGGTTAGATGTGTTCATATAATTTTCTCTAGATTTTCCGATTTTTCCAAATTTTCACGACGGCAACTCGCCTGTAGGCCACACCGTGCAAAATTCGAAGTTGTGATATATGGAAAAAGAACTAAGAATTTTGAGACCTTTCTAATGATGTATAATACTTTATATGTTTTCTTTAGAGAAATATCGAATCGTGAAGAGTGTTGCTCCAACCTAGCCGCACTTTGCATTTTGACATGTTAACATCTACACATATGCTCTATAACATAAAAACCGTAAAAGATACGAAAAAACTTTGTTCGTACGAAAGATGCAGAATAAAATTACGAATAAAATGGTATATAAATGGTTAGGTGTGTTCATATAATTTTCTCTAGATTTTCCGATTTTTCCAAATTTTCACGACGGCAACTCGCCTGTAGGCCACACCGTGCAAAATTCGAAGTTGTAATATATGGAAAAAGAACTAAGAATTTTGAGACCTTTCTAATGATGTATAATACTTTATATGTTTTCTTTAATGAAATATCGAATCGTGAAGAGTGTTGCTCCAACCTAGCCGCACTTTGCATTTTGACATGTTAACATCTACACATATTGCTCTATAACATAAAAACCGTAAAAGATACGAAAAAACTTTGTTCGTACGAAAGATGCAGAATAAAATTACGAATAAAATGGTATATAAATGGTTAGGTGTGTTCATATAATTTTCTCTAGATTTTCCGATTTTTCCAAATTTTCACGACGGCAACTCGCCTGTAGGCCACACCGTGCAAACTTTCGAAGTTGTGATATATGGAAAAAGAACTAAGAATTTTGAGACCTTTCTAATGATGTATAATACTTTATATGTTTTCTTTAGAGAAATATCGAATCGTGAAGAGTGTTGCTCCAACCTAGCCGCACTTTGCATTTTGACATGTTAACATCTACACATATTGCTCTATAACATAAAAGCCGTAAAAGATACGAAAAAACTTTGTTCGTACGAAAGATGCAGAATAAAATTACGAATAAAATGGTATATAAATGGTTAGGTGTGTTCATATAATTTTCTCTAGATTTTCCGATTTTTCCAAATTTTCACGACGGCAACTCGCCTGTAGGCCACACCGTGCAAAATTCGAAGTTGTGATATATGGAAAAAGAACTAAGAATTTTGAGACCTTTCTAATGATGTATAATACTTTATATGTTTTCTTTAGAGAAATATCGAATCGTGAAGAGTGTTGCTCCAACCTAGCCGCACTTTGCATTTTGACATGTTAACATCTACACATATTGCTCTATAACATAAAAACCGTAAAAGATACGAAAAAACTTTGTTCGTACGAAAGATGCAGAATAAAATTACGAATAAAATGGTATATAAATGGTTAGGTGTGTTCATATAATTTTCTCTAGATTTTCCGATTTTTCCAAATTTTCACGACGGCAACTCGCCTGTAGGCCACACCGTGCAAAATTCGAAGTTGTGATATATGGAAAAAGAACTAACGTAAGAATAAAATCGCAATTTGATATTGTAGTGTTGTATCTATTTTTTATACCGCAGAAGTATAATTAATAATAGTGTTTATAATTTGTTTCAGCATAACATCTCCTGTTAGTAATATTATTTTCAAATTTGTTTGCATTCAACAAATAAAATTTAGTTCCAAATCCAATGCTTTTTGACAATTTTATATATTCATAGACCATACACACATCTCGAAACAAAAATCATAATTCGAGAAAACTACCGACACTTTACGATTAATAATTCAATACATAGTTTGAACACTTTGGCAAATTGTACTTGAACTAATTTAACAACACATTTTTAGATTTATTTTCGCTCCACAAGAAACTCAAATAAAAATCTATACATTCATATAGTAGCATATAAAATGAAACTATTTAAACGAGCAAAACATTTGTCGCTCGCAAACCATTTTCTCGATTTACTAAAACAACTCAAGTTATGCTTTTTATGTGGTGGACTGCCATGCAAAACTATCAAATCGAAATGCTATATACAATATTATTTAAATTTAATATTTGAATAAATTTTACTAGTTATATATTTCAGGTTGTGCTTTCCATACAATTTTTTATTTTCTTTTATATAAAAATGTATAATTTAACATTTAGGGTACATGATTTGTCGCCTCCTCAAAAATTGTATTTCACTTAATATCATTAATTGTAACTCTCTTAAAACTCGAGCATTGTGGATTAAAAAATTGCATACAGTGCAGTTTTGAAAGGAGAATCGGGCTTCTGATAAAAACATTTAAAGTTTTTGATATTTAATTAGAGTTTTATATTGCTGTAATTGCCCAGTAAACCACAAACGTTCAATGAAGTTAAAATATCCGAGCACAGAAGAAACGTTGTTACGTATTTTATGGAAACGTAAATGTTACGTATACAGTGGACCCCCGGTAATCAGGCCCCTGCCTGTGCTCGATGCGTAGGGTATTGTGTTGATTCCGATTGCTTAGTTTGAATTTGACTACAGCCGATGAGGAGTGGTGCGAGCGCCTAGCGCGTGTTTATTGTTTACTGTTTATTCATTGTGTATTACTTAGATATACGTACGTAGCAATGTCGTCAAAAAAGCGAAAGCACAGAACATTGACAATTAAAGAAAAATGTGATATTTTAGACCGCCTAGATAGTAATGAATCTTTCAGTAGTTTAGCAAGTGAATACGGGGTAGGTACCCGATCTACAATTTATGATATTAAAAAAAACAACGAGAAGATTAAACAGTTTGTGTCAACTACTGAATGTGGGCCAGGCAAAAGACAGACACTCAAGAAAGCTGAGCATCCGGAAGTGGAAGAAGCTTTTTTTCTTCAGGAAAAAATAGACATGCGCCAATTTCGGGATCCATGTTAGCAATGAAAGCTAAATATTTTTATAAAGAAGTAACAAAAAAAATGATTTTGTGGCTAGTCAGGGATGGCTAGTACGTTTCAAAAGTCGTGATGGCATACGTTTAATGACCATAACAGGGGAGAAACTTTCTAATAATGCCACCTGCATAGAACCATTTAAATTAAGATTTTTGCAGAAGGTGAAAGATTTAAATTTTAACCCGTCACAGGTGTACAATGCAGACGAATCAGGGTTTTTTGACGTTTGTTACCCAATAAAATTTTTGAAACAATGAAAAATCCGTACCTGGACGAAAAGTAAGTAAGAACAAGTATAACCATACTAACATGTGCTAACGCTGCGGGTACACATACGCTGAAGATGGTGGTCGTTGGAAAATCTAATAAACCACGTGCATTCAAAAACATTGATTTACCTGTACACTATTATGGACAAAAAAGTGCGTGGATGGCAAAAGATCTTTTCAAAAAGTGGTTTGATGAATGTTTCGTTTCGATCATAATTTTTCTCAAAAATCGTTATTGCTTCTTGATAACGCCCCCGGTCATCCGTCTGAAGAAGAACTGACAACTCAGGATAAATGCATCACAGCGATGTTTCTTCCGCCAAACTGCACTGCACTGATTCAACACATGGATCAGCATATCATTCAGTTTGTAAAGCAAGATTATAAGAAAAACCTACCTCTGAAAGCCGTATCAAAAGCCCAGTCAATAGAAAAAACTTTAAAAAAAATTAACATGAAAGACTTGGTTTTTGCTCTTTGGCAATGGTGGAATGCATGAAAAAGTTGTGGTCAGATATAGTCGCCAATCCTACCAACGATCCACAAATCAGTGTACCTTCGGAAGTAATAGAGCAAATTGCTGCTGAAACCAAAATAAGTCCGGAAAATTTGGAAACCTGGTGCCGTGGAATGGATAAGGAGGAAAATATATTTTGTGAAATGTCTGACGAAGAGATTATAAACGAGATTTCTAGTCACACAACAATAAATCAGGAAGATGATGACTAAGTAATTGCAACTACTCCGCCAGTGAAAGCCCAAGATGCAATTAATGCCTTTGAGCTGGGTTTGCAATGGGCTGAAGAAAATGCTGCATCCTACAACGATCTTCTACTTTTGAAAAGACTGAGGGCCAAAGCTTTATTCTCGCGTTTCAACAATGTGACACAAAAAAAATTGATAAATATTTGCATGCTTCTTAAATTTCATACATATGTAGTTGATTCATAGTTTTTGATTATTTTAGTATGTATGTATGTATGTACATTTGTTTGTACATAATTATTTATAGTATTTATATAAAGTAAAGTTATTGCATATTTCTTGTAAGTTTTATAGCATTAATGACGTTAATTTTATAATAAAACATAAGCTCTCTATTGTGTTGTTTAATTTACTAAATTTGACATATGTACATAATGAAGTATGATTTGTACATTATATGTATTTATTATAAAGAATCATCATTGAATCTACATCAATTTCCTACAATGCATTTTTTTTATTTTATTAAAAAATACTTAAATGATTTGTTTGATATTAATTGTAGTTGACAGCTCTATAAAACGCCATAGAATAAGTCTCTATACATTCTCTATATGTTTTGTCGAACTTTGGTCATCCTGACTTCTAGTGTCTTTTGTATCTACGTGATTCGTTAAGCTCGTTTTAGTTTTGAATGATTTTCTGGTTTGTGCAATCCTAAATTATCTTTAAAATCATCCGGTTTAACAGGTAAATTCAGTTAATTTTTCTAGCTTTATTCATAGATAAAAATGTTGGTAACAACTTAGCAAACGTGAATATTCTTATTTACAACATTTTCGAATGTTTATGTAACCTCTCTTTAGAACGCTTTATAGTAGCAGCAGAAAATGTACACTCACGCCTTAATAAATTTTGCAAATAGGATTGATAGTTCAGAAGTGCCTTTGGATGATTGATCAAAAAACGGGATCAGGTGATATAATATCATCAATTATAAAAAACGCAGTGTCTAATCAAACTGCTTGGACGGTGCAAGACGTTTCGGTGGTGCGTTATTTTAGTAAGTGTACTTGTTTAAGCAAAGAAAAACAACCATGTTACAGTTTAAAAACAATTGCATTGCTGAGATTCCTACTTCAAGCGAGGGCTTACGCCAAAGACAGCGATTACACTTCGGAAGAAGAAAATTTGGGAAAAGGATGTCGGGTTAAAGGACCTAAAATATTAGATTTAAATATTGAAGATAGTAAGTAAAACAACCTTCATATCATGAAAAACTGCACTATATATTTACAGATAAATAAAAAAATAACTTTTAGATTACCATCATGAACCATCAGCAATTATGTTTAATGAATCTCCACGGAGTAGCACTAGCGACGAAGCGCCTTTATGTTCTACACAGGGCCGTGCCTGACGGGCGTTCATTGCGTGCACCGCACGCAGGCGGCCGAAATTAAGAGACGGCCAAATCGTTACAAGTTGTTTACTGGGCAAAAATACAATCGGTTTGTTTTTATTAAGATACGAAGTAAAAACAGTTTCTCTAATCTAATCTATCTAAAAAGAGTTTCTCAGAAATAAGAAATGTATAAAAACTGATTAGGTCGTTGTAGTATTTATATACCTAGTCATGCAGTGAATCCGAATTTTTTCGAACATTGCACGAGCGACGAGCCGAAATAGTTTTTTCAATTGACCGGCGTCGCGTAAGCGGTCTTATTCGTCTTATTAGTCGTATTAGTCTATAGACTAGCGAGGATAAATCGTTATTTGTGTCCTGTGTGTGATCCGATATTATTAAAGTCTTTAATTTAACGAATAAGCATAAATTGCTTAATTCCTGAAAACTTTTAGTTGTGTGTTCGTGTGGTGAAATTTAATAAAAAGTTTATTTACTCGACAAAGACTGAAAAAGATAATACACAAAAAATGTAAAATTTGGGTAGACTTTCACTTTTTGGGCCCGGGAAATTTTGGCGGGTCTTTTTGGAGGGAAAAGGCCGTTTGATATGAAATTATTAACTAAATATTAAAAAATATTTAATAATATTAAAAAAAATTAAAAAAAAAAAAAATAATTATTAAAATAAATAATAAAATAGTGGAATTTAATATTAAATTACTTAAAATCTTCCTTAATTTATACTAAAAAATGAATATCTTTCTCATTTTGAATGCATTTATATAATAATTAAAAGTTGTTCGTTTGCATACGAGATTCTCTGTTTAAATCGCTCACAACCCGCCGATGGAAAACCAAGCATTTGAACTTGTGTAGCCGAAAGCAACTCTTTAAATTAAGCTTATGATTCCTTTTTATAATAGCAATGTTATTGTTATTAAATGGAAGAAATTTACCTGACATTGAACTAGAAAACAGTTATATGTGGTTGAATTTTCCTCTCCGTTTTCATTTTCAAAATAAATCTTGACATATTTATGTTTAAAAATATGTTTTACTTAAAAGGCTTATAAATGATTTTAAAATATACATTAATTATAGATTTTAAGTAATTTAATATTAAATTGCGTTATTTTATTATTTATTTTAATTATTATTTAATTATTTTTTTTAATTTTTTTTAATATTATTAAATATTTTTTAATATTTATTTAAGAATTTCATATCAAAAGGCCTTTTCCCTCCAAAAAAGACCCACCAAAATTTCCCGGGCCTAAAATTGAAAGTCTACCCTAAAATTTAAAATCACTGCTCATTTACATTTTTAAAGGCCTACGAATGTCTGAAAGGAAAACGAAAAGATTGTCTGGAGCGCAATATAAAAGAAAGCGAGAGGAAAAGCAAAATGAAGCTAAAAAAATGTTTGGCTCATTAACAAAGTTTTTAGTAAAATCGCCAGAACCGGAAAGTAGTTGTAGTAGCCAATTAAATCCAATTGATGATTTGTTTTGCGATAAAATTGAAAATGAATTATCCGTCGAAAATGAAAAGACTAATGACAATACTAGTAGTATCGACGAAATGGAAACAGAAGATAATAAGGATATCTATCTATACAATACCGATACCGCTGAAATTGATAAAGCATATTTTGCTATGTTTATGGATTTAAATGATCCAGCTTGCTGTCCTTTAACAATTACCACTAAAATATTGGATATATTAATCGAAAAAGGACCCATACAAAATAAACAATCTACATATCCAATTAATAAATTGGGAAGATCATTTTCATCAACTTATTTCTATAGAAAAATGCCAAATGGTGAAAAATTTAATCGTGAGTGGTTAATCTATTCTCCAAAAACGGATTCCATATTTTGCTTCTGTTGTAAATTATTTGGCAAACAAGAAATAAAATTAGTTAATGAAGGCTTCAATGATTGGCAACACACATCTGATAATTTATCTCGTCATGAAAAAACATCGCTGCATATCGGAAATTGCACCAATTGGAAAAATTTGGAATTAAATTTAAAAAACAAAAACTACAATTGATAAAAATTTGCAACGGTATTATGACGCAGAGAAAAAACGATGGTATCAAATTGTCGTACGCATGATATCTGTGGTACAATTTCTGGCAGTACAGGGTTTAGCGTTTAGAGGTAGCTCGAGCAGATTGTATGAAAACAATAATGGAAATTTTCTAAAAGCAATTGAAATGATAGGAAAATTTGATGATGTTATGGCAGATCACATAAATCGCATTCAACAATCAGTTGCTTTAAATAACCATATGCCACATTATGCGGGAAATCGCTTCCAAAATGAAATAATTAGTATCCTTGCAGCGCAAATTCAAAAATATATTTTGTCAGCAATAAAAGACGCCAAATATTTTTCAGTAATTTTGGATTCTACGCCGGACATGGGACATGTCGAGCAAATTACAATAATTTTGAGATATGTGCATATTCAAAATGACGAAGTAGAAGTGAGAGAAAATTTCGTTGGTTTTTCTCCAGCTCAAAAAAGTACTGGAGAAGCTTTTTACGACTTTTTACTTGTAAAATTAAGCTCTCCTAAATTAAATGTTAACGATATGAGAGGCCTGGGGTATGATAATGGATCAAATATGACTGGAAAACATATTGGATTGCAGAAACGAATTTTGGACAATTATCCACGAGCTTTGTTTATGCCATGCAACGCGCATACATTAAATTTGGTCGTCAATGATACAGCGAAAGTTTCTTTTTCAACTGTGGATTTTTTTAGTAATGTGTCAGCAATATACAATTACTTTTCCGGATCACCTTTTCGATGGCAAATTTTTAAAAAAAGCATGTAAAATCGTTAACAGTAAAACAAGTTAGCGTAACCCGGTGAGAATCAAGGATTAAGGCGATTAGACCACTGCGTCATGAATTAGGTGAAATTTATGACAGCCTAATAGAACTAGCGAAAGAATGTTCAACACCAATAGGTCAACATGAAGCTAAATGTTTGGCAATGAAAATTAAATCGTACAAATTTATTTGTTCCACAGTAATATGGTACGAAATCTTAGAAAAAGTAAATATTATTAGTAAAATGATGCAGACCATTTCTTGGAATCTTACTTCATGTGCTGATATTAATAATATTTTAATTTTTTTCCAAAGTATTAGAAATGATGAAAATTTCGAAAAGTATTTAAACATTGCTGATAAATTATGTGAATCACTTGAAATACAACCGGAATTTCCTGTTGAAATTAATCTACGTCGACGCCATAAGCGAAAACAATTTGACTATGAAGGAGATGAGGATATTCAGTTAACTGCTAAAAAAAATTTCAAAATTAATTTTTTCTATGTAATATTGGATACAGCCATTTCATCTGTTACTACCCGATTTGAAACATTATCCAATTTCGAACAGTCTTTCGGATTTTTAAATAAATTTGTTGAAATAGGAGAGGACGACATAAAAAAAGTTGCTTCGACTTTCATAATAAATTCAAGGATGGCGAATCGTGCGACATAAACGGAGCACAATTATACGAAGAGTTAATTTCATTGAAAATAATTATAAAAGATAGGAAATCTACAAGCTAAAAACTATTATTGACCATGCCTGTATCAGTTGCGTCTGGAGAACGTAGTTTTTCTAAATTGAAAATCATAAAAAATTACCTACGTACTTCCATGACGCAAGAACGTATGAGCAATCTTTCAATTATCGCGATTGAAAGTGAAATTGCTGAATCTTTAAATATTCACGAAGCAATTGACGATTTTGTCAGTAAAAATCCCGTAGGATTAACTTTTAATATGTACTTTATTTAATAATTGCTTCGTGAAGATTCAGCAATTTCACTTTCAATCGCGATAATTGAAAGATTGAAAGATTTCCCTAATTAACCGGTAACCTAACCGAAAGAATTTTATGAAACCGGTTAATTAACCAAAAACCTTTACTATTTTCAATATCAATAAATAATACGTAAAATTTGATTTTTTAAAATCAAATAATTTTAAATTGTCACTGAGCGACATCGAGGATTTTAAATTATCGTATTCCTATGTTCTTTATGTTTGATAATTTTGTCTGTGATTATAATACCAATACCATAATTACTTTTTTTCATGTTATTATTAAAGTAAGTAAATTAATTCTATTTTGTATACCTCCCAAGTTGCAAGTCAGCTTAGATCTGCCATTGGTCACTGAGCTTTGTTATCCTAACATGTTAGTATAGATTTAAGGGTTATTCCTTGTTCTTTATGTTTCATAATTTTGTCTGTGATTATAAAACCAATACCATAATTTTTTTCATGTTATTATTTTTGTTTAAATTTTAAATAAAAAAATGTTTATTTTGTGCATTTTTTTCTTAAATTGCTTTTCAGAAACCGGTTTTGGGAACAAAACCAATATTTTTTTTCGTTCTCGATTTCGGTTAACCAAAAACTGATTTTTTTGAAGTTTGATGCCCTGTGTATAATAATAAACATTAAAAATTAAAGTAGCTTTTTTTAATGTTATCCTGGGGGCGGCCATATACCCAGGCACGGCTCTGGTTCTACACCATCAACTGAGGGCGATTATTTAAGTCCCCTTGTCATGACTCCATGAGTCATATGTTCTGCCAGTGAAGGAAGTTTGTGAACGGAGAACACAAACGGATTATAGTTGTTCTTCCGAACAAATTGTAGTTAAATGTACAGGAGGTGAAAATATATTTTTAAAATTTGATTATTTAATGAAAGAGCTAGCAGATATGAAAATCACACTCCAAAAAATAATTGAAAATGCTACTTCCGCCAAACAACCAGATGTAGACCGGAACAATATGTTTAATGGTTTATTTACTGTAAATTCACAAGTGGAAATAAATTGTTGTGACGACATGCTCGAAAAGGATGATTGCATTGCGGAATTGTTATACTCACATTGTATTTAAAATATAATATAAATAAGATGATTTTGTACTAACTTTTTATATTTTAATTATAGAAAAAATATATTTTGAGAGTAGGTGGTAAGAAACCTGCAGAATATGTTAGGAACGTATTAAAGAAAATTTTTACAAAAGATCTGGCTGCCGTATGCTCGTGGTTTGGTCGCAAGAAGAATCTAGCAGTCAACAACCTTAAAATGATGCAATTAGTCATAGGTAAGTGTTAAGCATAGCTGGGCACCGTTAATCAAATAGTTAACTTCGTTAATCGTTAATCCGCTACAAAAAAAGTTAACTTCGTTAAACGTTAAAGCGTTACATTTCGGAAGAATTAACGCAAGTTAACGTTAATCGTTAATCCGTTAATATGTGTAAAATTACATTATATCGTTGCGTTAGTGAACTTAAAAAACTTATTAGTTTAGGTTCTGGAAGTTAACAGGTTATGAATAAAACAAAATACTTGTATAATTCAAATGTGTAATTTAACCCCTCGCGCGTTTTATGCACACTTCCGTGCGTATAAGGAAAATGGCACAATTATCACATACCGTGATAACGCTATTGGTCAACTTTCCGTTTTTATGATTGCATATTGTTTTTACAAGAATTTTTTTCTAAATAAAGGGAAAGAGTTTTTTAACTTCCCGTAGGGCAAGTTATAGTAATCGCAAAAAAATCGAAAATGAAAATTTTTGCATTTCTCGACGTTTCAAAGGTTTCTGAATATTTTGGCATACCTTAGAAAAAATGGATGTATGTGTGTGTGTGTATGTATGTGTATTCGGATACAAATTTTCGTCGACGATTTCGGGAACACGGATCAACCGATTTGAATAATTCAAAAAACATTCGATTCGTATTGATAAGAAGACGTGCTGATTAGTTTTTGGCAAAGGCAGGTCTAGCCGTTCCGAAGATATGGGGCAAAATTGAGCCAAAAACGGTAACTCAGTTTTTAAGAGAACGGAGCGTCCGATTTTAATAATTCAAAAAACATTTTACTTGTATTGACAATTATGAAGAACTGATCAATTTTTCATGAAGGCAGGTCTAGCGGTTTCGGAGATCTAATGAAAAAAGTAAAAAAAATGCCATTTGGCGGTCAAAAATGATCATTAGACATATGCACATCAAATTTTCAGATATTTTATAGAGATTTTAACAATAAGTATAAATTTTGTTTATTTTCCTATGGGTTCCGTATCAATGTTTACCCGTTAGACAGCGACGCCGCGCTTACGCGCTCTATATTTTGTCTCTATGCAGTCCTAAAGCAGTAAAATTGCTTTGAAAAAAAGTTCAGATCTTCCAAAATATGTCAAAATAAAGATCTTTTTTGTCCAATAGTTTATAGTTTCTGCATTCCTCTCTACTGCTGTCATACGTTTCCAGCCACATTAACCGAAACTTTGGGTGAAATGCCGCGGCAAGTTGGCACTGTTCATCATTCAGGAGTAGTCCAAATCTTTTCTCTATGCCGTTTAATAAGGCATTGGCTAAAGCTAAAGCTGTGCCGTGCGGTAAATAGTAGGCATTGGATTAACGATTAACGGACTTCTCGCATTTTAACGGAAGTTAACGTGTCCGTTAACATTTTTAAAAGTTAACTTAAAAGTTAATCCGTTAATCAAAATGTTAACTTCGTTAATTAACGATTAACGGATTAACGAGTTAATGCCCAGCTATGGTGTTAAGGATTCCCAATAGTGGTATAATCTGAACTATTTTTTGTAAGGGTATCGTATCGTCTCGTATTATCTTTATCTCGTATTCTGGTACGATAGCCTGTCGCTTGGCGATGCAGACGACTGTCTGCATCTCATTTCACACTTCAAGTGCAAAATGCATTAGTAACTTGAGATATTTTTAATTTTGATGTTACTTATGTGTCGCTAGTTTTTTTTATGTGTCTGCAAAATGACTTGAAATAAGCCTAAAAAATCATCCCACTCAGATTTATAAATTAATGTAACTCGCCTCTTACGGGCGGGGCTAATATTGTTAATTTCAATTTTGAATCATTTTTATTTAGTATAAGTTTAGAGCTCAGTATAGAAACGCCAACTATCTGATGCCATTATTCATCATATTTTTTTATAATAAACATATTAATATTAAACGTCGCCTTTTACTTAAATAATCACCGATCACACCAGTAGTTCAATTATAGAACAAATTTAAAAGTGTAGTGGTTAGGAGAAGTGAATCGACATCGCCCAGTTAGACGTCGAAGTAATTTTTAAGCTTCGCGCCTTAACATTTCGGTTAAACGAACCGGATATTTATCATTTGGACTTTTATAACTTTCCAAAGGACACAAATAAATAATATTAATAATTTTAAGTGATCTTTTGGACGTTCAAGTAAATTAATCAAGCAGTAGCATACAGTCCGCAAAAATATCAAAGTAAATTATTAAATTAAAATTGTAACATTCTATATTTATTAAACAACCATTAGTCACATAGTAATTAATATTTTTCATAATATATTTGTATAATTTGTCATACGCAAATATTTTGTCAACAACGCACAAAAATACGAATGACGTCACCAAGAGAAAGTTACGCATACAACGATGAACGAAGGGTCTCGCGTGAAAGCACGATGCAGCATACGCTCTGGCATAAGCGCGATAAGGACGGAGGATCCTAGGGCGCTCGATGACCTCAGCGCGTACGAACTAGCACAACGCTAGAGAGAGATGAAAGAGTTGTGTAATTTGCACTAAGCGAGAAGATAACATCTTAAGCCTGTGAGTCAACGCAAGTAAAAGAAAGATAAAAGATACGACTTTTGCCCTGTGACTCAACAAGGGTGTGAGAAAGACCAAAATATTTACACATTTTACGTCATCGGAAGAGAAATGCACCATAGCCAATTACTGATGACCTCAGCGAGATGAGTTCATCATAGACCAATGACCATCTCATCCCCCGAAGATTTTGGCGAGATGAACCGACGACGATCTCCGGAAGGACGCGAAGGAACCACCACCCTCGCCAAGAAATCAACCCCACTACAGGAGTAGGAGAAGCTCAATTAGTATTTAAGGCCATGCAAAACTAAGAAATTTATCAAAAGTGTTTTAGTCGCGTTTGCCCTAATACCTTGAGGAACTTGTCATGATTGCGCCTGCAAGATTAACAAGTTGGCTTAAGATATTAGAATTATTTTGTTAAGTTTAACAAAAACGGTTTTAAAAGTTATTAAGAGTAGATGCATTAATTACTTTTCTATTGTGATATTGAATGCGGAGGCATTTAATAATTTTAGACTTTGTGAATTGAATGCGGAGGCATTTAAAAATTTACGGACTTGGTGATATGTCCTTTGCGAAACCCATGTTGATTTTGGTAGAATATTTTGTGCTTATTGAAAAAATATAAAAATCTTTTAAACAGAATTTTTTCGAAAACTTTGTTAAGTGAGTTAAGTAGGAAAATGGGCCTGTAGTTATTTATTAAATCACGTTTACCTTTTTTCACCACAAATTAATTTATTAATACATAATAAGAATGGTTCAGCAAAATTTGAATGAAATTCTTTCAATATAAAACTGGGAATTTCATCAGGGCCTGAGCTAAAATTACTTTTAAGGCTAAGAAATGCTTCTGAAATTTCATCTAGAGTTACCGGAAAAAGATAAATAGTGTCAGACGATCCTGCAAAAATTAGAGAAGGTACACTAATGTCGCGATTGTTATTTACATTTGTAAGTACTGACGTAATAATAGTTGCTTCATTTACGAAAAAATTATTAAACTCGTTAACTAGGGTTAGGGGTTCATAAATCTTTACATCATTAATAGTAAGAAAATCAATTTGTTGATCATGCTTGCCAATATCGATTTCAGATTTAATCAGTGACCATATAGTTTTTGGTTTGTTGCCAGAACATTTTATCAAACTATCATTGTATTTAATTTTGGCTAAATCAACTACGCTATTAAAAATATCTTTATATTTTAAAAAATATTCAATAAAACCGATATCACTATTATATTTAGATAGTATTTCAAGCAGTTTCAGTTTTTTAAAAGAAATTAAGATGCCTTTTGTTTGCCAAAAACATGGATTAACTGCACTGTTATTGTTACATGATGACTTTATATATGGAAATGCAATATTAAATTTATTGTAGAAAATAGATATAAAATTGTTAAAACTTGAAATACCATCACAAGCAGTTGTTACAGAATTCCATCTTTCCTTATTAAGTAAATGTAAAAATATAATTTTATTTGAATTACTAAATCGTCTGATATATTTATATTGTTTAGGTATAATGTCACGGTGTTGTGGTATACTAAGAAAAATGCCGAGATGATCAGATAAAGTTGTGTTTAATATAGAAGAATATGAGACATTCAAATTAGTGAAAAAATTGTCGATGCAGGTTGAACTTTTTTTAGATACTCGAGTTGGCTCAAATATAATCTGTTTAAGACCAAAAGAATATAATTGATTTTTAAGATCATTTGAATAAATATTTGCTTTGTCAAAATTAATATTAAAATCACCACAAATAATCAGTTTATTGTATTTATTATATAGCTCGTTAATAAGATCATAAAGTAATTGAATAAAACGTAATTTATTTTGGTCTGGTGAACGATATACACAGATAAGGCAAATAGAAAAATCTTTAAAAGTTATTTCTGCTATGCAGTATTCAAAAAGCTTTTCGATTTGAGAAATTTTAGAGAAAATTTGCTTACATTCAATTTGTATTGAACTAAAAATGCAAACTCCACCATGTCCGTAAACACTTCTACAGAAGTATGAGCAAAGCTTATAACCATTGATTTTTATCAATTTGAGTTCAGTCTCTTTAAGCCAATGCTCGGCAAAACAGACAACAGAGGCTTTAACATCTTGTAATACAATATCGATTTTATTTAACTTATTAGATAGGTTTTGAATATTTTGAAAAAGTATGCCAAAATTTGATTTAGATGAAACGAAAGTTATGTGATGAGTTGGTTATTATTTTGAAACAGTATTAGCTAAAACTGGAAGAGGTGGGATATTGGTAGGAACTATTTTCTTGACTGAGAAAAAATCAGTGATTTTTGACTGACTGGTAGATTATGTGATGTTGTTTACATTAAAGTCTCTATTGTTTGGGTGAAGTAATGTGTTATTAATATGATGATTTTCTTCTCTGTGTTTAGACCCATTGCTATGAAATTTATCTCTTTTCGGAGAAGTATGTCGAACATTATAATGTAGAAAAGATTTTTTGTAAACATTCAAATTGACTTGGTAAAGTATTTGTTCTGCGATAAATTGAAGATAGTTTTTATAATAATTAAAATTAGTAACTAAAATACATTTAGTTATTCTTAACGATAGTTTTAGATGATTGTTAAGTAACTTACAATTTAAAAAATTATTATATAACGTTGGAAAAATTATTATTTGGGCCTTGCAATTAGTAACAAAATTTAAAATATTCATTGATGCTTCATACGGATTAGTTTCATTGGATCCTCCAATTATGACAACAAAGTCATTTTCAGAAAAAGTTTTATGGGATTTTTCTAGAAGCGAGTCCAGTTTTGCACCTGGTTTTGTAGTTAGTCTAAAATTATACTTATGAAAGCTATCATGTTTGACTTTCGAAAGTAGACCCTGGCCCTGTTGATCAGCATAAACAAAAATGTTCGGCTTAATCGTTCTTGTAGCATAATCTATTGATACATTTCTATCCAATGTCGTTCTGTTCTGAGCGATGTGAATGGTAGTTGTTGTTGCATTTGACTCGGATTGCGTTTGGTTAACTGGGTTTTGCCTGTCTATTATATTTTTGTAGATTAATTTTAATAAAGCCAATTCACAACTAACGTTATTATTTTTCAAACTGAGATTAGTTATAGATTCGTTTAGGTTTTTAATTTTGTGTTGATACTCCGAAATTTCTTTCTCCATTTGAAACATTTTTCCATTAAGATCATGTAATTCATGGTTTCTCTCATTAACCAATGTGCTTTCAGTGTTGTTATTATTATCTTTTTTGTATTCCATAAATTCATCGCTTAAGTCCTTAATTTTTAATTGGTGTTCTTCACATATCAATCTGAGACCGCCAATAGTAGATTCTTGATCACCATTAGTTTTTTTCAATTTAAATATTGATTTTTCAAGAGCCAAAATTTTTTCCTCAAGTTTTTTATTTGTTTTGAGTAGTCTTGTATTATCGCTACTCACATCTTTTATTGTGTCTTTAAGTTCCCCGTTCTCGAACTCGATTTCAGCTAGTTTATATTTAATGTCTAAAACACCCGTATCACTTTTTTCACAAACTTCATCAACTACATCATTATACATTATGTTTGATGATTTGTTAGTTAATTGGCTTCTTGTAAACATTTTTTACAAGAAATGATTTGCAAGTGCGGGTTAACGAAAGATAAATGTAATGACAAAAAACGTGTTAGATGGCAGCACTAAAATATATTTAGATAGGAATTAGAGGTTAGGAAACCTCGTGCAGATTGACATTAGATATAAATGAAATTAAATGTAATTGATTCTAGCATAGATATATTGCAATCACTGTTTTCAACACTCAAACACTTAATTTACTTTTGAATATTTAAACGTTCAATTATATGGCTAAAACTATAGCGAAAAAAGTGAGGTTAGAAAACTTTGCATTCGAATTAATTATCATTGCCTGTTCAACAGTCACTTTTTCTTCACTGTTTATAACACTAAGACACTTAATTTAATTTACTATATTTCAATGATATTTTATAGTCACTAATACATATTATTTTTGCAAACAAATATACACTATGATAACACGTTCACTCGCTGTCATTCGACGAGTGTTACTTGAAACTTTTCAAAAAGCAGGTAAAAGAAGAAATACTTAATTCATTTTCAATCTCTCCTCGCAGAAATTTGAAAATTTCTTATGAGCTCAGTAGTATTATTTAGTAGTATACACAAAATCCAAACTGTGTCGAAAGCCTTTTCAACATCTAAAATTATCATGCCTGTATTGCGTCTTCTGTTAAGCTTAATTATAATTTGTTCTACAAGTATTGAAAGTGGGTGAAGTGTGGAGTGATTTTGACGAAATCCATATTGATTGCTTGGTATAATTGTATGTACGTTAATGAAATCTAGAATTCTCTCCTTAAGTATGATATGATAACGGGGTTGTGATCGGAATTGGTTTCAGATATTGTATATTCTCACAAAACAAAATTGCACTTGCAATCGCTTCATCGGGAATCGTAGCAAATTAGCACTAAAATTGCCATTAAATATGCAAAGCAATGAAACTCCAACTTGCAACATTTCGAAGAACTCTGCAATGGCTAAGGTTTTGCAGCAATATCCATTGATCGTTTGGGATGAATGCACGATGGCATATAAAAAATCTTTTGATGATTTAGACAGAACCTTAAAAGATCAACTGAGCAATCAGAACCGATTTGGTAGATTTTTTTGGCAGGACGAAGTCTGTCGGGTCAGCTAGTTTATATATAAAAACGTTAGTAAACGGGCCGCAAGTGTTACTAGAAACTCAAAATATCAACTCTTTTGAAATGTTACGTTATGTTATGTTTTTGAAGAATAGATAGTAATATATGAAGGTCCAGCGTTGAAAAATTCTACGACCGACGTATCAAAAACCAGTAAAGTTAAGCATTGCTTAACAACAATATTTGAAAGTAGAGGGAAAAAGATGTATAACCAGCTGTAACCTTGATTCTTATGACTTTGCTATCAGAAGATAAACGGTAATCTTTGAAAATACATAATAAAAGTATTTTCTTCCGTTGGTAGTTTTTTAGCATTAGTTAAAAATGTAATTATTTTGTAAAATACGTTTGAAATTATAATAAGGCTTTAAACCTTTTTGCCATCTGCCCGTTTCAAGTTACCCCGCCTATAGGGCAAAAAGGTCTAGATAACAAATTTTGGAAAGACAGCAGAAAAGCACATTTCTACAATGATGAAGTAGCTGACAGTTTTACTGAACGTAGCCAGATAATTGTTCGTGTGAAATGTGTTATCTGTTGTGATATAGTTGGTTTGATTATTATAATATAATTAATATTTGCTCAAAGTCATATTGGACTTTTACATTTACTTTAATTCATCGAATGTTACTTGAAACTTTTCAAAAAGCAGGTCAAAGAAGAAATACTTAATTCATTTTCTATCTCTCCTCGCAGAAATTTGAAAATTTCCTATGAGCTCAGTAGTATTATTTAGTAGTATACACAAAATCCAAACTGTGTCGAAAGCCTTTTCAACATCTAAAATTATCATGCCTGTATTGCGTCTTCTGTTAAGCTTAATTATAATTTGTTCTACAAGTATTGAAAGTGGGTGAAGTGTGGAGTGATTTTGACGAAATCCATATTGATTGCTTGGTATAATTGTATGTACGTTAATGAAATCTAGAATTCTCTCCTTAAGTATGATATGATAACGGGGTTGTGATCGGAATTGGTTTCAGATATTGTATATGGTAAACAATGTGTAATTATCGATATTTTTTGTTAATGATAGATCAATAATGGATGGAGTTTGCAAACTATTAATAGGATATCTAGTTGGAGAAGAAGTATAATGTATTGTGATGTCATTTGAGTTTTCTACAAGAAAATTATAAAGACGCCTTCCGTTAGTATGATTATTAATACAATTCCACAACTCGTGTCGTGAATTGAAGTGGCCAGCAATCAATATTTTAGAATTAAAATTGAGGATATTAGTTAGATCTAGTATTTCTAATTTATTACATTGGATATAAATGGACTAGTGCAGTAAACGTAGCGTTTTAGGTCTGAATTTTTTTACTGTGCTCCGAATTCAATGAAATTCTGGAATTAAGTTCATCTTACCCTCAAGTTCAAAAGTGAAAACAATTCGGGTTGCGCCATCACCCCCGGGGAATGACACACCCCTTCTCAATTGTGTAATTACATTTTTTTCAAATAACGTCGGAAATCGATAGAAGAACTAATTATAAGAAAAAAATGTCTTTTATAGTTTTTCAAAAAAACTAATACTTTTCAAGTTATTACTGTCCACTAAAGATTCATATATTTTTGGCGTTTTTCTTAGTTTTTTTGCAAATATCTCCTAAAATATACATTTTAAACGAAAATCATGTAATGAACAAAATAATGTCAATAAAATTCTTAATAAATCGGTATTACATAAAGCGTTCTAGGAAAAATATTAAGCAAGATTTGAAAGAGCAAAGAGTATTTTTTATTTTGTTCGAGATTTAATTATTGTATTTAAAGCCATCTAGAGTCGAGGTTTTACATTTTATGCATTTCGGTGAAATTGGGTTTTATAGTGCTCAACATAAACTTTAAAATGAGTGCTGTTACAAGATTTTTGCGTGAAAAATGAGTAAGCTATCATGCAAATAAGAAGCATATACGAATTTTTTTTCTTTTAAATCATATGGTTTAATGAGCGCCATATCCACCAGAATTAAAGTAATTCACATTTCATCTAGAATTCACTTCATTATAGACATCTTGATGGTTCGAGCAGATTCACTACTTTAGTACAAACTATTTTCAGAAAACTCACGATTTTATAAAAACTTTTTTCCAATTTTTTTAAAAATCGAAATTATTTTCATTATATCTCAAAAAGAATAAAAGATACGTATAAAAGCATATAGATAAAAATCAAAGGGATCTTTCTGGCTTATTATTGTTTTTTATTATTTTTCTTTCACACAAAAATTGACAGAGTTATGAATGTTTAAAGACTGCGCGGCCGCGCAAATTGGAAAAGAAAGTTTTTATAAAATTGTGAGTTTTCTGAAAATAGTTTGTACTAAAGTAGTGAATCTGCTAGAATCCATCAAGATGTCTATAATGAAGTGAATTCTAGATGGAATGTGAATTACTTTAATTCTGGTGAAATTTCATGTTGCAAAAAGCTGAAGTGTGACCAAAATTGTCAACGGTAACATTGTGGCACTCTCTGAGATTTAGAAATTAAACGTTCCCATGATATTTTCGGATATGTGGCTTATTTAATTATTAAATTATTTAATATTACATTAATTATTTTGAATACATTTAAATCTTGTTCAAAGTTTAAAAATATTATATGAACTGGGAGATCGTATTTAATGTTGTTCACAGTCTGGGCCATTCTTAATATGTTTTTAACTTTAATATTTCTTCCAATTAGATAATCATAAATTTCTTCATTTTCAACAGTATTATTAGTTGCATTTTTACCTGCTAATGTGTTTTTCTATCAACACTCACTGTTCGATTTACGATTATGTAATATTTTTGAATCACGATGTGTTCACTTTGAGGTCTGAGACCAGAATGAGCATCAGCTGGTAATGTGTTCTCATGGCCGTGGTGTCTAAGAATTTGTAACCACTTTGTTAAAGACCGCAACGTTGTACCTCCGCATTCGTTGAACCATATTCTCAGCTCGCTTTGTAATTGTAATTTTTCCTATATCTTGTTATCGGAAAACATTGTACTTTTGGCACATACTGGTGTATGTAAATTCGAGCGGACAGCTTCATCAATAATGCTGGTGTTAGTATTAACATTTAAATTCGCCCGAAGTATTGAAAAAATT